TCCATACTCCTCCTCTGCACGTGCCCGAACCATCTCAGCCTCAACTCCCACATCTTGTCCTCCACGGGGGCCACTCCCACTTTGTCCATAATAACTTCGTTCCTAATCTTATCTCTCCTGGTATACCCACACATCCAACTCAGTATCCTCATTTCTGCTACTTTCATCCTCTGAGCATGAGAGTTCTTGATTGGTCAACACTCAACCCCATGCCTTATAATTAATTACGTAGTGGAAATTGCAAGTTGGAGTCGATTATCGTACATTTAGGGATCCCTTTGGTTTTAAAAAATAGAATACTTTCAGATTATAATAATTCTAAAACTATAACTAAGATTAAAATTTGAATGACTTATCTCACATTTTATTTGAGATAAGTTATGTCTAAATTTTGGTATGGTACTTTCAATCAAACACGATATTGTTTGACCAAAAAGTATAATTTTCAGCTAAACTATTAAATTTATGTAATAACGGGTTTAATCTAGTTAATGATAATAACTCGAAATTCGAATCTTGAAAACGTGTGTGAGATGTGACAGATCCAATGAAGTGTTGGCAATGATGAGCACAACCCGTTCGTAAAGAATGAGCAATAATGAGAATATAACTAGCAATAAATGGAATTTAAGTAAATAGGAGGAATGATTCACCCAATAAAGGATAGATTGGACGAATGTTCTTGCTGACAATGATGAATGACAGATAAATCCAAGGTTTGTTCGAACTATTCTCGGATTTGGTGTAAAAGTGTGGAATAATATGAGTAAGAATCTTGATAAAAATGTAGTATTTGTGTATTTACAATAAAGAGAATCTTCTTCTGAAAGGTGTTCTTATCAAGTGAATATCGCCTTCCCTTTTTCCATCCCTCTTTCCTATTTATTTGAGACATGTATCTAACAAGCCTTAGCAGTACAAGTGTAGGAAATATTCACTAGAATATTTTCTTTAATATCCTATTTCAAAAACTAGACGTTGTTGTTCTGTCAACGATGCTCAACCTCGGCCATTGTTGCCATCTTTACCACGAACCTCGTCGTTCCCTGGCCGACCTCGATTGATTCTTTCCTTAACGCTGTACCATAAATATTTTAGGACGGATTTTGACCTATACAGATATAAACTTATTTTAAAAAATTTATTCACATAACCCACTGTATAGGAAAAAATAAGACATGACACGTGGCCGCTTAAAGGAAGGACACGTGGAACGGAACATAGCTATTCCGCTTGTCACCGAAAGGAATAACGATTATAAAAGGAGTATTAAATGCTTTGCGACCAGTAACATTTAATACGAAATATTTTGCAGCATTAAGGATGATGGCCCATTACAAGAAATTTGGCATGTATGTCTAACGTTACATCTTCATCAATAACCCTCATAATTGACCTTAAAGAAGAGCATGATCCTAAGACCTCCTTTCCTAGACATAACTATAAATAGTGGGCTCTGTTATCATTGAAGGGGGACAAATTTTCTAGCTAACTTACACTACATTCTATACAATATTTTAATATAATTTTATTCTCTTGCTTTTGATCTTATCATTGTTATGTCCGGAAATTTTGTTCTCGGACTCATTAGCTCTGTCGTTCCATATACATTCTAAGGCTAAGTATTTTATATTTCATCAGTTATTTCGCTACTTTTTGGATCAAATTAATTAACTTGTCTTGAAACCACGAATAAATTCAACTGTATCGTTTTTCGGGTAAACACCCGCATATTCCCTTGAATCAGACCATCTCTGTAAGAATGCCAACGGTATGAAGCAGTTACGGTCACAAGTGAGTTTAAGCCTTCGTGGGCGGCACACAACGTTGTGCGAGGGTGAGCGGGGCCAACAGACGCTTTATGCTCGATCATTCCAATTTCTAAGAACGCTTGCATTCTTGCATTCCATGTATTACTGCGACTATTCACACAGAATTATGTGATGCTTCTCCAAATATCGTCTACTTTTTCTCCGGGAAGAGAAGTTCACGACCAATGGGTCTTCTATCTCCACGCCGCATTGCTCGGTTCAAGACGATGCATGAAATAAGAGAGTAGTAAATGGCTTTCCTTAAACGAATATCTAGCTGGATTAATAGTAGGCATGACGTGGCAATACCCTGGAAGGTGTTTTATTTCTTTTTCTCCATAAAAACATGGACCGTGGACTATTCACGCTTTTAAAGCAAAATGAAGGGATAGAAACGTCAAGTTGCAGTGTTCACAGCTCAGGCCTTAGAGTTTGGTATGGCATAACTCGTCGGACCTGACTTGGTTCCGCGTCAGTAGGTCCTACCCTTTCCACTTACTGGATTTGCTATACACGTAAAGCTGACTCATCTTAACCTTCTTCCATTCTTTTGCCATTTTCAGTAGCAGCGCGTGTTTCTCATCTTAGCTCAGGATACAAGTTTATGACCCGATATAACTCTTGCACCTAGATAGAAGTAGGGGTGTGGATACTATTTCATTTTCCAAATAAAGAAAAATGTTTGTTTTACAATTCTTTTGTATTATTTCAATTTCAATTTAAAGTTGAAAATCTAACTTTAAAAATATTTCAAGTGGAAAAATAATTTTTACTTACAAAAATTCAAAATTCAATTTTATTTTTAAAATTTCAACTGTCAACACTTTGATTAGCAAGTCGAACAAGTTCTCTAACTTGTTTTTATCTAAATTTGGATAATATATAGGATGGTATTGAAAAACAAATACTTAAAATTAAAGCTAAAAGTAGCTCATGCAAATTAAACAAACATTTGTGCAAGTTGAATTTTATTCGGACACAAACTTAAAGAAAAAATATTACTAAAGTTACAAATTTAAAAATCTCAATTCAAAATGCAATTCGTGTCACTATTTTGATATTTTACTTCAAATTCAAATATGTTCAAATTAAAACCTAAATTTCATATTATTATGTTTAGATCATTATTATAGTGTTTGGAATATTGAAATTATTACTACTTGTAGTCAAACCAGCCTACAAGTGGCAGCTCTTTCTCGTGTCAAAATTGATGTACTCATGAAATTACAAATAAAACGGGAGGCTTTGTATCCTTTAAATAGAACGTGTTAGCCAGTTTTTGGACTGGTAATTGAAAAATAACCAGCATTTGTAAAGTCGTTGAAAAATAGTCACTATTTTGCTGCAATACGGAAAGTTCTAACATAATATATAGGAGCGGCCCAAGGGTCAAGCCACTAAAGCAAAGGCTTTAGGCCCCTAAATTTTGAGGGGCCCAAATTTTTCTTTTGTTTTTCTACTCGTATTTGTATTGAGACCCCGACTAATCTAGATTCGTACCGTGTAAGACCTAGTAAAAGAGAGAACACGTTTTAACAGGATTTGTTTTAACCACAGGACTCAAACCCAATATATTTAATTAAGGTAAGTTAGATCAAATACATCTCACAACAATCTGTAGAGGCAGGGTCTAAATATATTGGGTATGTTAAAATAAAAAATAAAATATTTTATAAAAATTTAAGATAACTTTTAATTTAGTAGTGATGTAACCGTTTGAGCAAAAAATGCAGAAAGAGAATCATTCTCCCTAAACCCTTGTCGCGAATATAAAACTTTTCATTATTTAAATTTTACGAGTGACATCATTAGTGAGGTATCTATATGAATTTGGTTCTATTATCTAAGATCAACAATATCTTAGGAGAGACTAAATTATTTATAAAAGAAACTATTAACAACTGATGTTAGGCCAAAATTCTATACTTTTAGCACATTACTCACCCTATATTTTGTTGGTTTTAAGTGAGTTATTGTGCGACAATTGCGCTAAATTGTGTTGTTCTATGTGTAGGAACATCGGAATGAATCATCGATGTTATGACATTTTTGTTTTCCTTCTGAAAGGCCCCAAATTAAAAATTGGCTTTAGGCCACCAATCTTCTTGGGCCCACCCTGATAATATAATGGAGATTGGAGCACTTGTGTATGAACTTTCAGCATAATATACTGAAGTTCCAGTATATTATGCTGGAACTCTAGTATATTATGATGGAGTTCCAGTATTTGGCAGCTCTTTCTCGTGTCAAAATTGATGTACTCATAAAATTACAAATAAAAAGTGAGGCTTTGTATCCTTTAAATAGCACGGGTTAGCCAGTTTTTGGACTGGTAATTGAAAAATAGCCAGCATTTGCAAAGTCGTTGAAAAATAGCTACTATTTTGCTGCAATACGGAAAGTTCCAGCATAATATACTGGAGATTGGAGCACCTGTGTATGAACTTCCAACATATTATGTTAAACCAGTATGTTATGCTGGAACTCCAGTATATATTATGATGGAGTTCCAGTGATTTATACTGGAACTTCATCATAATATATTGGAGTTCCAGCATAATATACTGGAGTTTCAGTATATTATGCTAGAAGTTCACATGTAAAAAATTCGAACTCCAGTATATTATGCTGAAATATTTTCCGGATTTTGAACAGTGTTTTCGTTCAAATTTATCTTTACATGAAAAGTAGCTAAATTTTGATTAATTTTAAAATTGTAATTATTTTTCAATTATCACTTATAAATCTTAATATCCTTAAATAGACAATCCGGGTCAGTACCCAACAGTATTTGGGTTTACCAGCTTTTGGTTGTCTTAGCACGCGCCACTTTAAAAGCGTGAAACGAACGGTCACGTGAATGATAATCCTTTCAACGCGTCTTTAGAGATAACATATAAAATAGCTGTGGAAGCTCAGATTTTCAATTAAGGACTCTACGGATTTTCACGTAAGGACTCCAAACGTTCCAATTGTCATTTAAGGACTATTTTATCTTAGGTTGCAGACTTTAGATTTTCACCTAAGGACTCAATAGATTTTCTATTAAGGACTCCAAATATTCCAATTCTCAGTGAAGGACATTTTTATCTGACGTGGAAAACTTTTGATTTTTCATTTAAGGACTCCATAGTTTTTCACTTAAGGACTCCAAATATTTCAATTCTCAGGGAAGGACTTTTAATCCTACTATAAATAGCCACATTTTCAACCCCCTTTACACAACACAATTTCATAAGCAATTTGCGTTATTTGCGTAGTTGCACTTTTGGCCTTTTGTCGTTTCTTGAAATTTATCCTTTTTTCATTTTCTTGAATTTCTTTTTTTTGGGGGGGAAGATGACTATCGTCATTGAGCAGCCTGAGTTTGGTATGTCCTAAATTTCTTTTTCTTTTTTAGTTTTCACATTTTAAGAAATTTTTTATGCACTAATAATTCACATTACATGGGATTTTCTAAATTCTGATCCTTTTTTGGCCAGGTTTGCAAGTAGAGGAGAAACAAATCCCATGCAATACCAATGAGCTTATTTTGGATGGTGGATTTGTGGTACCAAAGCAATTGTCTTGTGACGGTGGATTTGAAGTGCCAGAAATCAATTCATTTGGCCAATCATTTAGGTATGTGGATTAAATTTTTTGCTTTTGTATAATTTATTTCTCTTTTTCTTTGGGTTTTTATGCGATGTCGATAGGATCCATTAAATCTAGTTTTACGTTGAAAAGTCACACCCAAAGATGGTATGAATAAATACTTATTACTCTATCACGACATTTTGTTGATTACTTTTACTCGTTATGTTCATTCATTCACTGATGCAACTCCAAAACCCGTACAGCTTATTTGAATAGGATTACTTTTTAGTGTTTATAGTTTCATGCAAATATCTTCTACAAAAGAAAATAAAAAGAAAATAAAAAGAGGCTAATTTAATACTATGAAATTGTTGAACAGGGATTATAATGCAGAAAGTGAGAGACAGAAGACAGTGGAAGAATTCTATAGAGTTCAACACATCAACCAAACATATGACTACGTAAGTGCTTATAAACGCCTTTCAACCAAAAAAAAGAAATTACTATTTAGAAAATTCTCTAATCATCTTTTTTCATATTCTAAAACTTTTTTTAAAATGTAAATGTGGAATGAGTAACAATTTATGAAAATGATTAATTGCCAATTGATCAGGTGAAGAAAATGAGGGAAAAATATGGGAAGTTGGACAAAGTGGAAATGAGTATTTGGGAATGCTGTGAGCTATTGAATGATGTGGTGGATGACAGTGACCCTGACTTGGACGAACCCCAAATTGAGCACTTATTGCAAACTGCTGAGGCTATTAGAAAAGACTATCCAAATGATGATTGGCTTCATTTGACTGCCCTCATTCATGGTATGTGCTACTCCCTCCACCCCTATTTATATATCACTATTTGATTAAATACGAAATTCTTTAAAATTATATTAAAATTTATGGTTTAAAACAAGATAAAATGAGTAATGTCAAATTAAATTATTTATAAATAAAAAAGAAATGATGTATTTTGGGGCCGGAACTTGTATGTAGACGGGCGGAGCCATAGTGTTAGTTGCGGGTTCGGCCGAATCCATTAGCTTTTGTTCAAACTCTGTTTTTATATTAAAAAATCCAATAAATATGTATAACTTATTAATTTAGAACCCAGTAACTTAAAAGTATTATAATCCCAAACTCATAAAGTTCAAATCTTAACTCCGCCTCTATATATGCAACACTTGTAGAGAGGTGCATGCATAAAGGTTTGGAACTCTTTTCTAATTTGAATCTTTAAGGATAAATTAGAAAGATAAGTATATCATATAAATTAGGAGTATACTATTGTTGTCATTCATTTTCAAGACAATTAAGACCTACTTTTGTTATTGTTTTATAGTACATTTTTATTAAGCATATTAGTATATACCCCATTTATATCCTTTTGATCCTGCTTTACGAGTTACTTATGCCATACGCATATATTACTTTCTTTATTTTATTTTGTTTTGTTATGTTTCTTATAATGCAATATAATATGGACTACAGATCTTGGAAAAGTACTACTTCTTCCTAGCTTTGGAGGGCTACCTCAATGGGCTGTTGTTGGTGATACGTTCCCATTAGGTTGTGCTTTTGATGAATCAATTGTTCACCACAAGGTAAAACTTTCTTTAATTTTCTACTAAAATGTCTTCCTTTGATAAATGTAAAATAAAATACATGATTAATTAATTAAGAAAATTTATAATTTTAACTGTTATAAAAAATAATAGACAATAGAATGTATTTGATTTGTATATATGTATATTATATGCATATACGTATTATATATTTCTTTTGGCCAGCAAATGCAATTAGTTTCAACGAAGAATGACAATTTTGTATTTTGCCCGTTAATTAACGTGTGCATTTTTCTATGCAGTACTTTAAGGAAAATCCAGACACAAACAACCCTCTTTACAACACCAAGAATGGTGTATACAAAGAAGGATGTGGACTTGACAACGTTGTTATGTCATGGGGACATGATGATTATATGTATTTGGTCGCAAAGGAAAATGGAACTACTCTTCCTTCTGCTGCTTTGTTTGTCATTCGTTACCACTCTTTCTAT